ATGCTTTTTTTTTTTCGTCGTCATTCTGTGAATATCATCTTGTGTCGCTGTATTTGTAATTTGAAGGACGAAAATGGTTTTGATGTTTTTGCTGCTGGTGGTGATGATGATGATGATGACGATGGTGATAGTAGTTGAAGGAATTGAATTTAAAAGATTTGGAACACTAATACACTAGGGTTTGGCTTTTTTTTCATGAATTGGAATTATTCAAAATCTACAGTGTTTAAAAACAAATGCAAAACAGCAATTGTTAATTGCGTTTCAAAGATTTGTTGGCAAATCAGTAAAACTATGATTCTTTTAATCCTCACTCAATTTTTCATAATTTTTCATCATCATTTTTAAGTTTGCTTTCACAAAATTTTTATTACTTCCTGATTTAAAACTCAGTTGGTTACAAAAAATATATGTTGGCTTATTGGTCTGCAGGAGAAATAGGAAAGAAGAAAGTTGTTTTAGATATCTTCCGCCTAATTTGTTTAACTTTTTTCTGTAACAGTGCTTGTGAAGTGTTGTTTTCAAATGAAGTCTATAAATTTCAAAATCGATACTGACCAGTAGAATATTTTTGCTCTTTTCTTTTTATTATTTAAATAATTTACATTAAACTTCATTCTTTTTCAAATAGATAACAAAGGAAAGAGGTTGAGAAAAAGTTTTTATTAAACAAGTTTATTGCGGTTTGGTAAACTTGTGTAACCATTGGTAATGATGCGCCACTTGCAAATCTCTTTTGACACTGTCATCATACCCCAAAAAATCTGCAGGCGGTAACGAAGATTAGGGACAAAAATATGAGAAGAGGAAAAAATAATTTAAAAAAAACATTAGAAGTCAATTAACGTCACTGGTACTTTGTTGAAAGTATTTCAGCGTTTAAAGAAAACAACCAAATTACGTTTGCATCAGTATTCGTTCACACCAATTACCAATATGTTAAGCCATTTTTGGTAGGATAAGCCTATTGGGGGCGCGAGTGGGATGTATCAGATTGGTTGGGAGAAGGTTGAAAAAACTGTTTGATGTTAAAATTCTTTTTTTTTCTATTTCAGCTTCTGGTCATTGACATTAGAATTGATTTGGATGCCAAGCAAAAGCGACTTAGTCGTCAACGCTGTGGTAACACGAATCTGTCTGTGTATCAACTGTGTTTCGAAGCGACAAACGAAATACAGTTTTTTTTAGGTTGTCGCTCTTTGTTGATTTCGATGATTTTATGAAAAAAAAAAGGCGAAAGAGAAAGAAAATAAGTGAAAAAAATTTTTTTTTCTTTTTAACGAATAAACCAGGCAACCTTTTTACCTGGTCAAGGTTACGTCACAACATTCAGTACATCTGCTATTTCTCTGCAAAAACTTCATCATCCATGTCGGTTGTACCGGTTCCAAAAACTTGCAATGCATTTTTTTTGTTGTTGTTTTGTTTTAATATACCAAGGTGAAAAATTGTTTCAAAGTTTTTCACTTTTTCTGCGCTTA